TAGGAAGGAATGTCTGGGATTAAACAAAATCTGAAATGTTATTAAAAATTTTAAAGTAAACAATGTACTTCTACTATTAAAATTTTTAGTAATTGTATTAGTTTCTTAGGACTGCCATAACAAAGTACTACAAATTGAGTAGCTTAAAACAACAGAAATTTCTTGTGTCATAGTTCTGGAGGCTAGAAGTATGAAGTTAAGGTGTTGGCAGGGCCCTGTCCCTCTAAAGGCTCTCGGGCGAGGATCCTTAACTGTCTTTCAGCTTCTGGGAGCCCCAGGTATTTTTTTGGCTTGTGACAGCATAACTTGGACTTCCGTCTCAGTTTTCCTCTTGTGTATTTCTACATTTTATAAGGACTCAGGTCATATTGGATTAGGACCCACCTTAATGACCTCATTTTAACTTGATTACATCTGCAAAGACCCTATTTCCAAATAAGGCCACATTCTAGGGCACTGGGGAGTTAGACGTCAACATATCTTTTTGAGGGACAAAATTCAACCCACAACAGTAGTCAACAGCTGTGGTAGGCTGAATATGGCCTCCAAAAATACGTCCACATTAAATCCTTAGAATCTGTGAATATTACCTTAAATGGCAAAGCCGACTTTACTGATGTGATTTTGAGATAGGGAGATTATCCTGGATTGTTTGGGTGGGCCCAAATGTAACCACCAGGGTCCTCATAAGAGAGAAGCCAAAAGGTAAAGGGAGGAAGAAGGCAATGGAAGCAGGGAGAGAGATTTGAAGATGGTACAGATGCTCACTTTGAAGATGGAGGAAGGGACCATGAGCCAAGAAATGCCCCTCTAGAAGCGGGAAAATGCATGGAAATGAATTCTCCCCTGGAGCCTTTGGGGAGAGCCCAGTCTTGATTTCCACTTAGTGAAACTGATTTTGTACTTCTGGTCTCCAGAATTGTAAGAGAATAAATGTGTGTTTTAAGCCACCAAGTGTGTAGTAATTTGTTACAGCAGCCATAACAAACTAATACAACAGCTTTTTGGGTATATTTTTGACAATTGGAGAAATTTGTTTTTTGCTGAGGAAGATTTGCCCTGAGCTGACATCCGTTGCCAATCTTCCTCTTTTCTTGCTGGAGGAAGATTAGCCCGGAGCTAATATCTGTGCCAGTCTCCCTCTATTTTCTATGCAGGTCACCGCCACAGCATGGCTGATGAGTGGTGTGGGTCCACGCTTGGGATGCAAACCCCAGCTGCTGAAGTGGAGTGCACCAAACTTAACCACTATGCCACAGGGCTGGCCCTGACAATCAGAGAAATTTGAATATGGATTGCATATTAGTTAATATTATTGAATCAATATTAAATTTGTTGGGTGTAACAACGGTATTGTAGTTATATAGGAGAATATCCTTATTTTTAAGAGAGACATGCTAAATAAGTATTTAGGGAGAAGTGTCAAGACGTTTGCAACTTATTTTCAAATGGTTCAGAAAATGTGTATGTATGCATAAAAAGAGAAAGATAAAGCAGATCCCGCAAATAGTAACAATTGGTGAATCTAGATGAAGATATGGTTGGTCATTGTACTATTTTTTTCAATTTTCCTGTAGGCTTGAATTTTCCAAAACAAAAATTGAGAAATTTTTGAAAGCTTGTAATCAGACTTTAAAAACTAGTACAGAGGGGGCTGGCCCTGTGGCATAGGGGTTAAGTGCGCGCACTCCGCTGCTGGCAGCCCAGGTTCGATCCCCGGCAGGCGCAGGTGCACCACTTGTCAGGCCATGCTGTGGGTAGCCCAGGGCCAGTCTTCCTCAGCAAAAAAAAAAAATAGAGGAGGATTGGCATGGATGTTAGCTCAGGGCTGATCTTCCTCACACACACACAAAAAGAAACCTAGTACAGAAACAGCTTTTATAGACATTGTTCCATTTTATTTTTGTACTAAAATAATGTTAACTGATAGAATTTCAACATGTGAACATATAAGATTTTTCATTCCATTATATTTAAAAGGCTTACGTATATTTGAGAGTGCTCATCCATATATTGACTATAACTCTGAATGATATCCCTTGTTCCTCATACTTTGCTGTCCATACTCATTCGAGGTAACGGTGACTTCTATGATTGCACTAGTCCAGGGATGCCCAAATAACACTGACTTAGACATTTGGTTGCTCTGCCTTCTAAAGTCTGAAGTTGAAACTGAACTGACGTTGGATAGGGGATTTTAGTCAAATACTGAGACCAAAACTAAGTCATTCCTAGGGAAAAAGTCATATCTAGACATGTTACACTGATTCTAAATGCTTCTAGAAAGAAAGAGTAGATTACCTACAAAAGAGCAAGAATCAAATTTTATAAATCTAACCCCTTTCTCTTCCTTGAACTCCATATTCTCATATTTCATATTCCTACTTGGGAATTTTATATTTCCTATTTGATATTTCCACTTGGATAACTACCAGGAGTCTCAATTTAATCTGAGACAGTACTCGAGGTTTTCCCCCTCCAAAGCTACTTGTCACTCATATCAGTAAGCTGCAGCTCTTTCCAAGTGCTCAGTCCAAAAACCTGCAATTAACTCTTGATTCCTCTTTTTCTGTCATAACCTACATTCAATTCATCAATTTCATTTAAAATATGTCTTGACTACTTCTCACCATCTCCACTGCTACCACCTATGTTTCTCCTGAACTGTAGTCTCTTTAATATTCTGTAGTCTGTTTAATATTCTCCCTGCCTCTACTCTTTCTTTCCTAAAGTGTATTTTTCAACATAGCATCCTGGGTCAGCTTTAAAGAAACGTAAGTCAAATAATGTCATTACCCCGATCAAACTCTCTCAAAGCACCCCAACTTATTTAGAATAAAAGATAAAATCTTTGCAGTGACCTACAAGGCCCATCAATGGCTTACATGATTTGATCCTCAACTACCTCTCTGATCTCTTTCTGAAAATCTTTCCTTTGCTCATTGTGCTTCAGCCACGGTGGCCTTGTTTATTCTTTGAACTCCTCAAACTTGTGCCTGCCTCAGGGCCTTTGCACTTGCTCTTTTCTGTCCTTAGAATACTCTTCTCCAAAATATCCTATGGCTCACTATCTTGCTTTATTCAAGCCTCTGCTCCAATATTAACTGATCAGACCTCTCTTCCGCACTCCATTACATATTCTGCTTTACTTCATAGCATGTATCACACCCTGAACATTATACTATTATAGATTTCTTTCATTTGCCTCTTAAAATATTTTTTGCTATATTCCTTCCCTGTAAACTCAGTCTTTCCCCTATTTTCTTTCCCCCCTCTCTCCCCGTCTCCATGCTTTACCTGAACTCTTCAAGCTTCAGCAATCTGTCTCATCTTTCAGAAGATCCAGGTAAGGCATGTGCAAAAGCAGGGAAATGTTTCCTGGGGCCTAAGTGTTGGAAAGAAGGAATGGATTTGGTACAATAGCTAGGAAATAGATTGTCTGTTTTTGATCAGATGGGGCAGACAGGAGGTAATGAAAATCATGCTGGAAGATAAGATTTGGGATTTTATGTTGGTACATAAGGGAAAAAATGAGCAAAAGCAAGGGGATGAGCTAGGACACTGTGCAGTGTGCTTAACATTTTTTTCTAGGAGGTTTCAGTTTTATGCCTTTTAGTACTTCTGTTCTCATTTGACCTCTTTCAAATGCGTTTTTAAACCCTAATAAAGGTAGAAATGTAAAGTCCTATACTATATTTGGAACCCTGAATTAATGAGGGAATAAATAAAGCTAGTTTTGTACGTAGCATTACAAAAAAATCTGGGAAAGAACAATTAGGAAAAAAAGAAGAAAATGTCTGGAGTGGTGACTGAAAACTGTGAACAGGTTCTTACCAAGGACTATGGCAACCACAGAACCAATGTCAGTGGTTATCAAACGTGAATCACCTGCTGTGTACCATAGGTTGCTCATCCTTGCCTCTCTCCCCCAGTGCCCCAGTGATTTGGGTTTAGTGGAAGTATGTAGGGTTTTAGAGATAGATTGATTTAGGGTCTAATGGTCTTTAAACTGTTTCAAGAAACACTGCTTTTGAACCACCTAGTCCCCAAAACAGAGAAGGTCTTTATTATTTAATTTTTAGTGTCTCTATTTTTGGAAAGAGAATGAATTGTTCTAAGGAAGGGACAAATATTTGTAAGTCTAAGTAGTTTTAACAATATAAGCCGCTGGATAGTCTCTGGAGGACATTTTATGATTAGCAGACCCAAGTTCTTGAAATCCCTGAACATCTATAAACCCTCTTTCCTCCTCCCTTCCTTATCCAGAAGATTATAAAATAGCAAAACTACAACCATGGGGAATTGTGTAGGTATGAACACGTGAGCAAAAAAGAGTTACTGTAGATAGCAGTGGCCTTTATATTACCTTACTCTGCCATGGTTGTTTAACGTCTTGAATTTGAGCAATAACTATGTATTGATTCAGTGTACCTGAAAGGAATAGTGAGACAAGAGGGGTGTGAAAACTAAAAATTACTTTAACCACAGAATCAAGATATCCAGTTACACGAGAAAAGTTTATTATACGTCCTGGGGTGTGGCCTCAAAGTATCGCTTTGCATTTTTACAATAACATTACATGAAATTCCCAGCGATCAAAAAAAAAATTGCAAGTAGAGTACTGACTCAAATCTAATTGCTTTAGGGTAACCACTGCTTTCCCCCACTCTCTTGATCAATGGAGATTTCCACTGACTGCCACGCATCCTTAACACTTTCATTTTGGAAGGCCCTTGTTCGTTACTTATGCACAAACTAACATGTACTCTTATCTAGCCAGCTCTCGATTTGCTATATAGAATTTGTTCGCATCTTGGGTTCCCTTAGTGTCATCCTTAGAAAAAGCAAACACTTCACTATGGAAACCGGTAGGTGTTAAAAAAAAAAAAAAAACCATAATAAAAATTTTAGTGATAAAGGCGACAGCTTCTTTTCACTGATGAGGTGGGTGGCTCTGAAAAGAGCCTTTGGAGTCAAGCGGGCGGCGGCTCGTGCGAGCACCGCGTCCCGGCAGGGACTCACTTGGAGCTGGTGTACTTGGTGACCGCCTTGGTGCCCTCGGACACGGCGTGCTTGGCCAGCTCGCCGGGCAGCAGCAGGCGCACGGCCGTCTGGATCTCCCGGGACGTGATGGTCGAGCGCTTGTTGTAATGCGCCAGGCGGGACGCTTCGCCGGCGATGCGCTCGAAGATGTCGTTGACGAAGGAGTTCATGATGCCCATGGCCTTGGACGAGATGCCGGTGTCCGGGTGCACCTGCTTCAGCACCTTGTACACGTAGATGGAGTAGCTCTCCTTGCGGCTGCGCTTGCGCTTCTTGCCGTCTTTCTTCTGCGCTTTGGTGACCGCTTTCTTCGAGCCCTTTTTGGGCGCGGGAGCGGATTTTGCCGGCTCAGGCATAGCGGGCAGCACCGGCAACAGAGGCGACCAGATAAGCAAACCCAACAGTGGGTCCCAGGCTACCGGAAGCGACTCTGTACTTATAGAGGCCGTACGCAAATTAAGGTTCTGCTTACGCTGCGTCGTGATTCGCGAGTTTTCAGTGGCGCCCCCGCGAGGGAGACGAGATTATGTAAATGAGTGGATTCTAGCTGAGCTGTCCTATTGGTCACCAGGGTAAAGGCATGCTTTAGCCAATGAAAGTGCTCCGTAGACAATCGCCGCTCTGCCTACAAAAGGGTGAAGCGGAGCTGTTTGGGGCGACTTTCCCGGTTGGGAGGCGGCAGTTGTTCGCAGTCATGTCTGGTCGTGGCAAGCAAGGAGGCAAGGCCCGCGCTAAGGCTAAGTCGCGCTCGTCCCGCGCTGGCCTTCAGTTCCCGGTGGGACGAGTGCACCGCCTGTTGCGCAAAGGCAACTACGCCGAGCGGGTGGGGGCGGGCGCGCCGGTCTATATGGCGGCGGTCCTCGAGTACCTGACGGCGGAGATCTTGGAGCTGGCGGGGAACGCGGCCCGCGACAACAAGAAGACGCGTATCATTCCTCGTCACCTTCAGCTGGCCATCCGCAACGACGAGGAGCTGAACAAGCTGCTGGGCAAAGTCACCATCGCCCAGGGCGGTGTTTTGCCGAACATCCAGGCCGTGCTGCTCCCTAAGAAGACGGAGAGTCACCACAAGGCCAAGGGCAAGTGAGGCCGGCCCCCGGAAGCCCACCCAGCCCCCATCTCAAAGGGGCACCTGTGAAATCAAAGGCTCTTTTCAGAGCCACCCACTGTTTCAAATAAAAAGAGTTGTTACAAGAACTAGTGTCATTTCCAGCTCTCTCGGTAGGAAAGAGCGGGGCCAGAGGTGTGGGGGGTGGAGAGAGTGCTATTTGCCCACTACTCTGAGCCGTCTCTCGTCTGTCGAGTCTTCAGTCCTTAATCACCTTTGCGTGGTGGCTCGTAAGTCTCATGACTTAATTGACGCAGGTGGAGGTACCTAAAACCGTTGGGCACCAAGGTTGACTCAGTTATAAATATTCTAGGCGGCCCGCGACGCTGTATCTCAGAGTCGGTGCCGAGGGCGCCACTCCCCAGTTGTTGCCCAGGCCTTTGCCCGACGCTTGAGGTCTAGTACGAAGGGGATGTGTTCTCTCTCTCACGTACACATATGTACACCCCAGTCGGTAGGGGAGCGGGCGGTTTTCGGGAGTGTGGTGGACCTGGGCCTTGGCTTAACTGAGCTGACTGTCTTAGTCAAAAAACGTGAGGAGATGCCTTGGCCCCGGAGATACAGGTCCCCACTTAGGCTTTCAGTGAGGCGGAATCTTGCGCCCGCGGGGACGGACAACTTTCGAACCCGAGAAGCACCGAAAGGCGGAAAAGAGCCATCTGTCGGGACCAACTAGGGGCCTCTGAAAAGGTAACAAGGCGTTCGGGGGGCGGGGGACAAAGAGAAGACCGAGGTTCAATTCGGGAGCTACAAAGCGTGGAAAGGAAGAGGGTATGGCGGGTAGCGTGTTGCAAGGCAGTGAGGGGCCGAGGAGGGACATTCTGACACGGTTGGATCAAAAATGACTGTCGCCCTGGAAGAAAGGAAAAACTGTTGGCGAACTGGAAAGTAGAAAGGGAAGGGGGGGAGGCGGGGTGGGCGGGGGTGGGAAGGATTCTGCCCAAGCCAATCAGTGGCGCTAGGCCGGATGGCGTCACGGCCAATGGACGGCCAGCGCGGGACTTTCAATTATCGTCCCGCCCAATCGGGAAAAGACTGTGCCTATAAAGACTGCTGCGGCGGGTCGGCCCTGGTTACTCTCCCTGCCGCTGCGCTGGTAAGCTCGTGTTTTGGTTCGCTATGGCCCGCACTAAGCAGACTGCCCGTAAGTCGACCGGCGGCAAGGCCCCGCGGAAGCAGCTGGCCACCAAGGCGGCCCGCAAGAGCGCGCCGGCCACGGGCGGCGTAAAGAAGCCGCACCGCTACCGGCCGGGCACCGTGGCCCTGCGCGAGATCCGGCGCTACCAGAAGTCCACCGAGCTGCTGATCCGTAAGCTGCCCTTCCAGCGGCTGGTGCGCGAGATCGCG